CCTAAGCTTTAATCCTTAGTTTTGACAGTAATGAATTCTGAATGTCACAGGAAATCAGATTTTACACTAGAACTCAGATGTTGGTGATGGTTGAACTTAGGATATTACACTTGAAGCTCAGAACTGGAATTAGACCCAGGTGCAGTAATGTTGTAGTGACTAGAGCAGCAGAGTCCCTTATTAAAAGTGTTACTTCCTGGGCCCCCTCTCTACTTTAGCTGAATCACCATCTCTTGGAGTAGGCTCTACATGCCAGGTAACTTGGTTTGTATGCTCAAGTTTGAATTGTTAGGGTGGGGGCAGAAGAGGGTCCTAATATATGGTGACAGAAGACTTGATTCTGGGTGGTGGACACACGGTGAAATATACAAATCTTGTAACTAGAAACCCACACCTGAAACCTATATGTTCCTGTTAACCAATGTCATCACCCCAATAAATTTAATAAATAAAAATTTTAAAAAGTTTTAATTATTTTCAGATTTGTAGAAGTAAATATTAGCCTGATGTGGAATTGTGTTGTGTTTTTTTTTTTTATTACCAATTGTTGATTTTCCCTGCAGGAGGGAAATAGTGAGCCACCAAAGAGAGACAAGAAAGTAGCACATTATCAGATATAAGTAGCTGCAAAGACTGGTGATCTCTGCTCTCAGAGGTTTCAGCTGTGACATGGAAAGTGAGCCAGTCAGTCACCTGATGTATTATTCATACTTCAGAACAGTGTTCTTTGAGATATTTCAAACTCTTTGAGGTCACAAAACAGAACATCTTTGCAGAAGTTTGACTAAATGGTAATGCTCTTGAAAAGAAATTATAGCGAGACTTTGTATAAAGTACAGTTGGAAAGCACTGACCTGTTACTGTGCAGGGGTTACCTTTGCTAAGTTTTGGGTGTATGCTTTCAGGCTGTTTCTCTGCTCATGAATAAGTAAAATTGTGTTTATATATATTCACTTATATGTTTGCATGTATATATAGATTGCCCTTCTTTTTCCAAAAGCTGTAACAATTTATGTTCTCATCATTGAAGGAACATTTCTTGTTTGGTGATTTGCATACTGATTTCTTTTGCCTATTTTAAAATTTGGTTGTGGTTGTTTTTATTTGTTCGTTTAGTTCTTTGTCTAGTCTAGACATTTAGCCTTTGGTCTGTTACATTGAAAATAACATCTACTTCTAGCTTTTCAAAGTTGTCATACGTCTTGCTTTGTGCCAGTTCTTTTTCGGAGTCTTTCATGTGTACTCTTTTATTGAGTCCTCACTGATGAGGTGACTGTTATGCAAGGAGGTTAAGTAACTGGTTGGAGCACACATGTCTACTAAGTGGTAGAGCCAGGATTTCAATGAAAAAACACTTATTTCAAAACATTCCACTATATCTTTACTTAAGAGGCTACATGATTTTAATATAAATATTTAGGAATATAACATCTAATCTAATAATAGACAAAAAGGGTAATTAACCGGTACTCCGCTACGCTTCCCATCAGCTAATCAGCGAGATATGCAAATTAACTGCCAACAAAGATGGCGGCCGGCAGCCATGCAGCTGAAGCAAGCAGGAGGTTTGCTTGCTCCAGTGATGGAGGAAGCCAAGGTTCCCCACCTGTCACGGCCCAGCTCTGAGCTCCGGAAGCAACAATGTTTCAGTCATAGAAGCTAAACAAACCCCAGGTACTTGCTTTCAGCCAGCCGCGGCCTCAGAGCTGGGAGCACCAGTGAAGGCAACAGAGTTTCAATTATAGGAGGTAAATAAATCCCAGAATAAAAGAAACAAAAAGAAAAAAAGGAGAGGCTGGGAGCTTCAGTCGCAGGCCTGCCTGCAAATGGTCCTCAGCCCCTCACCCAGACTGGCCAGGCACCCCAGTGGGGACCCCCACCCTGAAGGGGGTGTGACCAGCTGCAAACAGCCATCAGCCCCTCACCCAGGCTGGCCAGGCATCCAAGCGGGACCCCCCACCCTGATCCGGGACACCCTTCAGGACAAACCAGCCAGCCCCCACCCATGCACCAGGCCTCTGTCCTATATAGTAAAAGGGTAATATGCAAACTGACCCTAACAGCAGAAAGACTGGGAATGACTGGTCACTATGACACACACTGACCACCAGGGGGCAGGCGCTCAATGCAGGAGCTGCCCTCTGGTGGTCAGGGCGCTCCCACATGGGGGAGCTCTGCTCAGCCACAAGCCAGGCTGATGGCTGCCAGTACAGCGGTGGGGGTGGGAACCTCTCCCGCCTCAGCAGCGCTAAGGATGTCCGATTGCAGCTTAGGTCTGCTCCCCGCTGGCAAGTGGACATCCCCAGAGAGCTACTGGGCTGCCAGAGGGATGTCTGACTGCCAGCTTAGGCTCAATCCCCTGGGGAGCAGGCCTAAGCCAGCAGGTGGTCATCCCCAGAGGGGTCCCAGACTGCGAGAGGGCATACGCCGGGCTGAGAGACCCCCCCGCCCCCCAGTGCACAAATTTTTGTGTACCAGGCTTCTAGTAAACATATAGATATGATAAATAGATGTAATCCTATATAATAAAAGGCCAATATGCAAATTTTCCCCTCGACTGGGGGTTTGATCAGGGGGTGGGGCCAGCCGGCCAACCTCCTGCATCCCCTTCCCCCGGCCAGCCCGACCTGATCAGCCCAGATTGGGGTGGGCCAGGCCGGCCGAACCCTACCTGTGCACTAATTCATGCACCGGGCCTCTAGTTCTATAATATCCTAATACTCTGGGAATATTTTTGCCCTATTTCTATTTAGAACTGACCTTCAGTAGCATATTCCCCTTCATTTTCTTCTACTGATTTCATATAGCCTGTTACTCTCCCTCTTGCCAATCATTTAGCTTTAGTCCATCCTCAGCCCAGCTACCAGTCGCTCATTCCTTTGTTTGGAAACTTGCAGTGCTATCACATTTCTTGCTGAGTGAAGGCCTGGCTCTTTCCTTTGAGAGCCTTTGAAGACCTGTACAACTCTGCTCCACCTTTACCTTTCAAGAATTGTCTAGAGCAGTCGTGGGCAAACTACGGCCCGCCGGCCGGATTCGGCCCGTTTGAAATGAATAAAACTAAAAAAAAAAAAAAAGACCGTACCCTTTTATGTAATGATGTTTACTTTGAATTTATATTAGTTCACACAAACACTCCATCCATGCTTTTGTTTCGGCCCTCCGGTCCAGTTTAAGAACCCATTGTGGCCCTCGAGCCAAAAAGTTTGCCCACCCCTGGTCTAGAGCAACTTTTCTTGACACTTACTCCATACTGCAGATAAATGGGATCATTTGTTTTCCTTCTTTTTGAACCACATTCTCTGGCTTCCTACTTGGATCAATTCGTATTTCTAATCAGCAGAAGAAGCTGACTGTCTGATGGAGCAGCAGATGAGGAGTTTATGTAATGGTATTTGTTACCTCACAGAATTTGGGGGGAGAGCTGGAGAACCAGGGTTAAGGTTAAGCCTGCAGGTAATATGTCCCAAATCACCTCTGAGAACTGTCCCTCTCCTGTGCCACCAAGTGCTGAAGGAAACCACCACTGCTGCCCACCTGCTGCCACCTCTGGGCTGGCACTTGGCTTGCCACCTCTGCTGCCGCCACTGTGTAAGGCTGTGCCTCCGCCCTTGCCTGTGCCAGTCCAAAACGGTAGCTCCACAGAGTCAGCCCTTTTTCTCATGTGACTCCCTCCAAACTGAAATCTTGTGCGCATGCTTCCAAAGGTCTGCATCATAGTTTGCAGGGTATATGTTGGTAATTTGAGGTCTAAAATTTATTTCAGGAGGTTAGGCTTACAAGGTATAAATTTTCTTGAATTCAAAAGATTCTGCAGAGCTGATGAGAGAAGCTTGAATATGATAAATGTCCACTATAATATTTCTGCTTATATTTCTCCATCATAATATTTTCCCTCTTCACCTCCAGGTTAATAAGTTCCATGCAAAGACCTACTGGAATTCCATTTTTGAATTAGTCTGCTTGATTCTTTATCTGAATTTTCTTATGAATTTTTCAACATTTCTTCCCCATTACTTTATTTCTTTAAAACAATGCAAGAGCTCAGAAGTAATATTTAAATATATTCTAGTATGAATCAAACAGTTATGGAAAAATATAGACTAAATTGTGAAAGTTGCTTTTTATCAATCACTTCCTATCCCCTTTATAGATATCCTCTGGTAAAAGTTATAATTTTTGCTTTTAATTTGGCAAGTATGATGATTATTTGGCACTTGATGGTAAGTTCATTGAGTATAGAGGCACTTATTCACTCTTTGTGCTTACATAGAGCCTACTAAAACTGTTCCTGTGTGTAGAATAATGCTATGTCAAGGCCCACCTACAGCAGTAGCTGTGTAATCATTTTGGAAGTGAATGTGCAGAGAAAGATAGGAACCAAAGTATACTCCAAACAAGAGTTCTAATTTGGGAAATCAATCATCGATGATGCCACTAGGGAAGACTGGGACCATAAGAACTATTCAGTATCTGCAGATACATTGTTGGAACCCTTTCCGATTATTTTCTGATATTGCCAGAATTCCTTTACCCGTATTTCTGATTTGAATTAGAGTTCAGGGGAAGCACTAAAATGCTTAGATTTGGCACACATTTCCACAGTTTAGGAAAAATGATGGAAAATACAATTTTCTGATAGAGTTGTGTCTGAGTTGTCAGTGCTGGATTATGAGCAAGACCTGTCAGTGGGGAGATGCATTTTTCTTTTAAAGGCACAACGCTTAGATTAAATGGGATGAATATAACATATCTCATTAGATGGCAAATGGGCATACATTTTGTTATGAATCCATTTTTAGAAAATAATGTTTGAAAGCTTGATCTGTTTCAGATAAACTTAAAGGAATAATAATAGTAATAATAATTACTCGCTTTGTTTTGATAAAGTGCCTCTGAAAAAGTGCTGGGAACCTTGTGCAGAGTTTTTTTTGGCCTTTAGCACTTTGCCTCTTTTTTCCTGTTAATTACACTAATTTGAAATTCTTTTCTCTTTCCAGATCACTCAACTTCAAGTGGCACATTAACTTTTAAGTCTAGTCGATCATTGGTTGCTCTTCCTACTGCCCATGTCATGCCGTCTCACTCCAGCGCTTCTGTTTCCAAACACAGGGAGTCATTGACATCAGATGGCTCAAAATGGACTACAAGCCTCCTGCACACATTGGGAAGCCACAGTAAGGGGGAGCAGGACTCTTCACTAGACATGAAGGACTTCCGGCCCCTCCGGAAATGGTCATCTTTATCCAAACTCACTGCCCCGGATAACTGCAGTCAGGGTGCTGCTGCATACCCTGAAGAGTCGAGGAGTGGTCTGGAAAAGACAGGGAGAGGCAAGGCTTTAACATCACAACCAAGGACGATTGGGCCCAGCTGCTTACATGATAGCATGGAGATGCTTAAGCTAGAGGACAAGGAAATAAATAAAAAACGATCATCAACTCTGGACTGTAAATACAAATTTGAGAGCTGTAGCAAAGAGGATTTTAGAGCTGCTTCTTCCACTCTTAGGAGACAGGCCTTGGACATGACATTTAGTGCCTTACCTGAAAGCAAGCCCAATGTGACAAGTTCAGAGGCTTTTGAACCTCCAAAATATTTAATGCTTGGTCAGCAGGCAGTAGGTGGAGTTCCCATTCAGCCTTCTGTGAGGACACAGATGTGGCTGACAGAGCAGTTGCGGACAAACCCTTTGGAAGGCAGGAGTACGGAAGACTCTTACAGTTTAGCTCCGTGGCAACAGCAGCAAATTGAAGAGTTTCCACAAGAAAGTGAAACACCAATGCAGGTAAGGCTCAAAATCTAGCATGTGCTTCCCTCCAGTGGAGGCTGTGAGTACAGTAACAGCGCCTGTGCAGTAAGCAGTGGCAGTGTGTCCATGGGCTTAGGTTGTTTTTCTTTTTCTTTTGCCTGAAAGTAAAGTAAGCTAAGATGCTGTCAATGCCCAAACGATTGCATTGATAGACAAAAGGCTGATTAATATGAAAAACTTGGTCTTTACTTTCCTTCTCATTTGTGCAATGGACATAAAAACACAGAAAACATCAATTCTAGAAAAACTTGAAACAGAAACATAGGCTCTGGCTTGTTATCATAGAACATTAATTTTGGGAATATGAGGTCTTGGATTTTGTTTCTGTTCTGTCAAATTCAGAACCTAGATGATTTAATATCCCTGGGCCTCAGTTTTTCTTTCTTTCTTTTAATTGAGATATAATTGACATATCAGTTTCAGGTGTACAGCATAAGGATTTTATATATTGCAAAAGGATCACCACAGTAAGTGTAGTTGAGTTTACATCTGTCAGCATATATAGTTACAAATGATGTTTTCCTGTGATGAGAACTTATAAGATTTACAGTCTTAGCAGCTTTCAAACTTATAATATGGGCCTCTAGTCCCTCGCCTCTGGGAACCACCTCCAATCTATTCTCTGTATCCATGAGTTCTTTTTTTTTTTTTTTTAAGATTCTACATATAAGTGAGATCATATGGTATTTGTCTTTGTCTGACTTATTTCATTGAGCATAATGCCCTCTAAGATTCAACCATGCTGTCACAAATGGCAAGGTTTTATTCTTAGTTATGGCTGAAAAATATATTGTGTATAGGGCAGGGCAAAAGTAGGTTTATAGTTGTTTGTATGAAAAATAATATAAAAATTAATAAATAATACAAGAATAAACTATGTTTCGCATACTCACAGCTGTAACCTACTTTTGCCCCCCCCCGTATGTACCACATTTTCTTGAGCTATTCATCTTCTGATGGTTGCCTCCATCTCTTAGCTATTGAAAAGAATGCTTCATTGAAAATGGGCATGTACATATCTTTTCAGATTCGTGCCCCTCCCTTTGGATAAGTCCCCAGAAGGGAAATTGCTGGATCATATGGTAGTTCTATTTTTAATTTTTTGAGGAACCTCCATACTGTTTTCCATTGTGAGTGCACCAATTTACATGCTCACCAGCAGTGCACAGGGTTTTTCTGTCTCTACATGCTTGTTAACACTTAAACTCTTTTCTTTTTTATAATAGCCATCCTGAAGGTGTGAGGTGATACCTCATTGTGGTTTTGATTTGCATTTCCATGATGATTAGTGATATTGAGCACCTTTTTATATAAACAAAGTAATTCTATCAAAACTGCAAAATTTCCCTAGAGCAATTTAAAAAATTATTATTTATTCCTGGTACTAATAAAAATGTTAAAGATTAAAAGAATATATTCTATGAAAGAAAAAGATCACTTACCTAGGAACCTCACAAATCTGACTACAACCCCAAACATACATAGCTTAACGTGCTGCATTCACGGGAGAACCCTTAACACATCCTATGTGTCGCCTTTACTATTGGGTTGGACCCTAGTTCTTAAAATCTTGATTATGTATATTTAAAGCACATAATTAGACAGAAGCATCATTGTGATATCTGAATTACAAGTCAGAAAAGAGCAATTTAACCAGATTTATTTGTGATTTATCAATTCAAGTGACTGAAAGATAGAATCACCTCATTTTAAAAATACTATATTTTAGTTCTCAAATGCTTTTTATAGCAGTCATTTCTCCAGTTGGTCTTTGCACAGAATTGTAGTTGTCCAGAGAGGCTGAGTATTCCACTCCAACCTGAAGTGGGGGCGATAGAAAGGTAACTGAAAATATTGGTTGAATTTAAAGGTTAAGTATTAATTCATTCCTTCTTTCATTCTGCTTAGATGAGTGAATCACTACCATAAACAAAGTGTTCCCCAACCTAACAGTGCAGCATCTTGAAGGTGTATTGTGGAGCAAAACTTATTTTTAAATCTTCCGAGCACGTGGTAGAGGAAGAAAGCTATTAAGGGGCAAAATTTGCACGCACCCTGGAAAGTTCTACTTTTTTATTAACCCTATTTGTTATTATCTCTATAGTGCTTTAAAGTTTTGGAGTAGGAAGATGAAACTAGGTAAAGAAAACTCAGACACTTCAATTGCAATGTTTAAATGATCACTTCTTGTCTAATTCCCTTCTTGGACTATTACAGAAAAAAGTTCTTTAAAAAATATATTTTTATTGATTACAGAGAGGAAGGGAGAGGGAGAGAGATAGAAACATCAATGATGAGTGAGAATCATTGATTGGCTGCCTCCTGTATGCCCCCTAGTTTGGATCAAGCGCTCAATGAGGGCATGTGCCCTTGACCAGAATTGAACCTGGGACCCTTCAGTCCACAGGCTGATGCTCCATCCACTGAGCAAAACTGGTTAGGGTCAGAAAAAATATTCTTAAATAACTTTCTCCTTGGAGTGTCCAGTGTTATCTTTATTATTTAAAAGCTCTTATCGTAGTTGTTTTTAAAAAGATTCTTTAAAACATTGACTTCTGTTTAGTCTAATTTTTACATGGAGGGCAGAGCTACAGTAAGGATCAGCTTATTCTTTATATGAGAATGTCTATGATTTTTAAGCACAATTACAAAACTCTCACAGTGAAAAAAAAATTTAAAACCAAGAAAAGGAATCTGGCGAGTCATGATCTAACACCATGATAGGTTTATATAGCTTTGAAGCTCTTGGAGTATTTTGTCTCATTTAATCCTCACAGCCTCCTCCCCCTCTTATTTTCCTAGATGATTAATATTGTAACATGGAAGTTTGGTCTCTGAGGACTCAGTCCAGGATAATTAGTGAGTCAGCCTCACAGTCTTCCCTGCATAGTGTTTCTTGATTCCCACGTTTTCAACCAAATCAGCGGCAGCGCAGGTAGTGCAGAGCTCGGAGGCATTTTCCTTTGTGAATGAAGAGAGGCCTTCTGTGCCTTCGGTTGGTTGGCATATAGGCTTCCATGTAAAATGCCCACCAGTGCCTTTGATCCTTTCCTCTATTATACATTACCCCTCTCCTCCCTCCCTGCCCAGAAGCTGTCTGACCCTACAAGAAGAGAAAACAAAGTCTTGTTTTTTTCTATGGAAAAATGTATGTCTTTCCATGTTCCTGTTGCATTTCTTTTTTGGGGGAGGGGCTGGATATGGAGGATGTGTACTTCTACACACAGCAGTATCCATTGGACACATTCATTAGTTAGTGAAAAAGCATATAAATGAATTTTGTACACATGCTTTAATAAATAAAATTAGTAATACTTGATTTTTTTTATCTATCAACTTTTCTATATAGTATTAGAATATAATTTTTAGACATTTTAAAGTGTGCTGTTACTTAGAAGAGCACAATTTTTTTTGAAAATGTATCATTTTTCCACTTTGCCATAAGACTGAGAAGTAATCAAAGTATAAGTCATTTCTAGGTAGAAGGAAATTCATTATTTTATGTAGGTCTGCCCTCTTGTGTCTGTACTAGAAAATCTTGATTTTATTTTATATGGGGATAGTCACCAAAAACAACCCAAAAAATCAAAACTGCTTATATTAGATTTTTTATGATAATATATCATATCAATCATGAGTATATTAAAGAATGATTTCACTGAGTTCAAGAAGGTCATTGTAATATAAGTGATTTGTATTAAATAAATATTGTAAACTAAAATATAAAGGCAACATTTTAAAAGTAATTAGTTTTTAGAACTGTGAAGTTTGGAATTTATTCTACAGTAGAAAGTATTTGAGCATTTGGCATTTACATTTTAAAAAATACATTGCTTTATTATACATCATGATAAACAGAATAAATAAGTTACATTTAAAGAATGGGTTTTTGTTCTGCATTATACCTGATTACAGTGTTCTGTAATCATCAAGTGTAAGGTTTTAATTTCTGTTAAAGGCAGAATGAAAAACAAAAAAAATCTTTACTTGTAATTTATTAAGGAAAACCTGATATCTGAACAGTTTATAGTTTGAAGTTGATGTGGTGATGAACAATATATTGAAAGGAATAGAGCTTGTTATTTCAAATTTTCCACTTTTTATAAGATCATGCAACTAATTATAGAACTTGGTTACTTTTTGCATGGGTAATTACACCAGTGGGGTGAATGTGTGTCTTAAAAGCTTTCTAGTTGATATTAGGGGTCTCTAACCCATAGATGAGACTTTGCTCAAGAAATGCCCCTGTCAGTATGAGATCCATTTCCCCTCTGTTCCTCAGTTGTAAGGGAACCCTCTCCCATCTCCAGTACTGCTTAGGAATTCAGAAAAATTTTAAAAATAATGTCTCTATCACTATTCCGCTTCCAGCACTGGTGTTACAAATCAAGTATTTGACTTTTCAAATACCTTTAGTAACCATATTTTAACAAATCATACAGTAAATTAAATGTTCTATACTCCTTTAATAATTGCTATATTAGTAATATGTCTTGAACTGAAGTTAAAATTATTGGATGGTACAGAATGTGTAAACCATTTTAGACTTCATTTTCAACTGAGTCCACTTAAATTGCCAAATTTTGGTTGAATATATTTTTCATCATTAATTTTTACTTCTGTTGTTTTATGAGTAGTTGGAAGATATTTTAAATGACCAGAGGGGAAGTAGAAAATGTATTCAGCAAGAAAATAATTGTGGGGCATACATTTTAGTGTAGTAGAGTGGCCTACCGTATAAGTGTTTACCATCTGATTGGTAGATTAAGGAAAGTAGCTATATTCTGTCATAAACATTAATAAGAAAAAGTTCATTTCAAAATGTAATCAAATAATTAGTTAATTTGGGAGAGAGAATTCAAAAATTTTATTTTTCAGTATTTGAAATGTTACATTTTTCTTTTGTTTGCCTACATTGAGTATGAGGATAGAATAGAAGACAACCTATAAAATATGAAGTCTTAAGATTTCATGATTCCAAAGATACAGTATGGCAAGTTATATACTGTAACTCAGTTAATCAACTACATGCCATAAATTAAGGTTAGACTCTATTCTATTAGTGTATTAGTAATTATGGCTAATCACACTGTCAGCTGTTAAATTAACCAGCACTTCTCCTTTATTTATCATAATGTCCTAGAGAAAATAGATTTATGGTTATCTACATGTACTAGCATTCTATATTCTTTAAAAAATAGCTAAGAGAAATTTTATTTATGTAATAGTATGGTCTTCTTTTTCCTACTTGATTCTCATGTACTTCAAACAATGTTAAGGTAAGTATAGGAAAAGAATGCAATTTCTATTTTAGAATGGAGGTTATGATAGTTACTAAAGAGACGTTTGTATAATAATAATGAAGATAAAGTGAGGAATCAGTGGGCTATTTAAAATAATGACATGTCATTTGAATGATTGTTTTGATAGTTGGTGAAGACCTGAAAAATACTTAATAAACATCGAAGAGGCTTTTTCAGTACAATATAAATTATATTTACCCCAAACAGTGAAGCTAATGCTTTATATATGAAGTGACTTGTTAGCAGTACAGTTTCAAAACTAAACTCCTAGTTCATCCTCAGAAAAGATTTGGGATTGAAACTTATAAGCTCTGTTGCAGAAATTAACAGTTACATTATGCACACTTATAGTCATTTTAAAGTTAATTTTAAAAATTGAGCCCTTTTCATGGTTGCAAGATCCAGCAGATGAAGACATTTGCTAATCATTTCTTCTGAACCTTGATGTTTGCATGAAGAATTTGCTCTTCATGGGAAGTGGTCTCTTTTCCCCTATCCGTGGGTGACAGGCTTAAGCTGATGGTGACAGGTTGCAGCACTGGACATGGCAGCAGCACTTCAGAGAAGCATCACGATGATGCAGATCAGCAAGAGGCATATTAAGATGAGACAGAAGTTGATGAACAGGTTCTGGAGATTCTGACGTGCTTGTTGAGGCATTTCAATGGTTGAAGCTCTTCTTATAGCAGAGCGAGTGAGGTATTGGACTTTCTCCATGACGCGGAAGGCAAGGAAGTCTGAAGTTTAAATGATCAAGACAAAGGAAAAAAGTGGGCAGCCAAATGTGAGATACTGTGAGGTAGCCTGGAATGTAGAAAGAGTAAATGGATTAGGATCATATGTGCAACCTGGTTTCTGAACAGGTAAAACACGATTTTGCATTCATCTCCTCAACATTATTTGTATTTATCACATCTTATATCTCTGTAGTCTGTACATGTGTGTGCGCACACACAGGTGTTTCCTTGTCCTGTCTCTCTGGGTTTTTTCGTGAAGGTCACCATGATCTTACTTGTCTTGTGTTTGGAATGTAATAACTTTATTCCTTGCTTCCTCTTCTCAAAATGACTAGAAATGTAGTTTGTTTTAGGGTGCACCTAGTTTTGGGCTATTGCCTTGGGCAAAAAGTTCTTACATATAGTTTCATTAATACTGTATTTCTCTATGAGCATAATTGTTGTAAGCATTCGTGTCTTAACAGCTCTAGAGCAAATCTCATAAGAAATGCATGCAATAAATTATTCTTCGGATGTTAATTAGTCCAAAATAAAATAGTTAAATGAGAATTGTTTCACCAGTACTACAGATTCAAATATTTGTCATTCCTTCTTTGATTTCACTAGAGGCCCAATGCACGAACTTCGTGCAAGGGGCGCGGCCCCCACCGCCGCCACAGCCATGGGCCTCTGCCTCGCCCCGCCCGCCACAAAGTATGTCTGGTCTAATTAGCATATTATGCTTTTATTATTATAGATAGTTTTGTAGAATTTGCTATTTTAAGTCACATTTTAACAAGTTTTGATACTAAGTACTGAAGACTATCAGGCTCAGAAGTCTTAACAATAAAATCATCATTATCTCACTCTCTAGCACAGATAGTAACTATTTATGAATGACCTGTACTTATAGGCAGTGGGTGCCATTTGCTTTTCTTTCAGAGCTTCCACAAGTTATTCTGCATGATTAATTAGTTGCTGCCTTATTATTTGTGATAATTAACAAAACAAAATAAAACCTAAAACAATACATCACTGTAGAAAGATAATAGCTATGAAGATTTGAGGATATCTTGTTGTCAATCAGGATACTTCTATAAAAATTTTGAAATAAGAAAAATTATGGAATAAAAAACCATTTAACTGCTTAGAGATCATAGCTGTTGACATTTGTTGAAATAGCATTTTAGTCAAGATGTTACTGCCTTACTCCAGCGACCAGATTTAATTTTCTCCCATCTCTCTATATCAGAGGAAAACCCAACTTAATGTGTTAGCTCCATTTCTGTAGAGACTAGTGATAAAGAGAGCAGAAGGGAGAATGAGAGAGTGGGAAAGAGGAAGAGATGGGTCAGTGAGACCTTTGCATTCATTTTTACAAGGAAACCTTGTGGTATATAGTAGTTAGATTCTGTAGTTTCAGTACTTCAACTTGGCTGTATTATGATTGGAATTATGTACTAGACCCACTTTCATTGCTGGAGACTCTGGCCTCCTCCATAGAGTTGGTCTGTAGTGATCCCATTAGCCAGCATATCACAAACTTCATTCTCTTAAAGAGCAGTAACAACCTGTGTTAATCTAGTATACATTCTCTACCAATTCTTAATTGTCCAACAGCAGTGGCTGTTACTTAATTTATCTGTAACACTCTCTACTTAGATTAGGGCAGCTTAAACTTTTTATATACTTAATTTAATTATTTTTGTTTCGGTTTCTTAGGTAAAATGCTATAGAAATAAAGGGGTTTCTCTTATTCTTTAAGAAAATGCATTTTTAAGTTGTTTCTGCTTATATTTGCTTATAGTAGATTTGGTGATTTTATACTATTGGGTAGTTGTGGGGAAGATTATCTTTATTGCTTTATATTGTTGGATGTATAAGGATATATTAACAGTACAGTTAAGAAAGGAATAAGAATTAGATTGGTAATTTCTATTTGAGCTTGTGTTTTTGTGTAGTTTTAGGACTTAAATTGTTTAAAAGGTCTGAATTTAAAAATTGTTTTGAGACAAAACATGGAAAAGGAGGAAGCTAGCCAGTTGTTCATCACGAAGCATTGTATATACAAGAGTCATTCCCTATTATGACACTGGTGAGTGGTGTGTCAGTCACATGAAACATGTCACCTTTCCATAAATACTTCATTCCCTTTTATGATTCTGTCGTTTGCACATGTTGTTCTGGCTCTGCCTGGAATGTTCCCCCCACTCCCCCACCTTGGATTCTTTGCCAGGCACATTTCAGTTGATACTTAAGGCCCAGTTTAAATATCGCTTCCTAATAAAACCTTCTATTAAGGTAGAATGATTATCAGCTCTGCTGGTTTTCAGTAGGGCATTAGCGTTACCTATATCAGGATAGCTCTCAGGCTGTGTTGCAGTTTTGATTTACATGTGTGTTTCCTCAACTAGACTTCTAGCTCATGAATAAAAGGAGCCACGTGTTTATCTTGTATTCTGGCACTTGGTACATAGTTGGTACTATTTGAATAACTCAATGAAGTTGAATAAGGGATTTTTATGATTTCCTTTAGTATTTTTGGAAAATTGATAATGATCAAAGATAGTGCTGTGATTGACAGATTAACCAATTAGAGTAACAGAATTTGATAGTTGAACATATAATCCCCAAACACTTCTCAAGTCTTTTCCTATTACAGATGAGGAAAGTGAGGCTTAGAGCACTTACATCAGATAATTACAATTTTGAAAAGTTGTTGTCAATGATTAACAACATTAACCTTGTACTAGGCTTTGTACAAATGGGTATTTGGTGTTTGTAAAATACAAAGTAGTGTGCCCTAAAGAGATGAGCTCTCTACTGATGAAAGTATAAGGAATATACTTTAAAGATGATCTCATCTTTCAATAGCTAGCTATTATTGAAAAAGGATAGTTTGTTCTTGGAAGCAAATTGAGTATAAAGATAGTGGGTTCTTTCTTGTCAAACTTAGAAATGTTATAATCAGGAAATGATTTGTGGTCACTTTATAATCTTATGCTAAAACTAAAAAACAACTTTGTTTCACATGCTGAAGTGTTTGCTCTATGCATTCAATTTATTGTACCTAATTCATTTTACAGTGGTACAGTCTGAAATGTGTTGAGTCCTATCCTGCAGAACTTCCAAAATTCATATGATGATAATAATCCAAAATTCATTCCTATCAGATGAGGCTTCCTGTTTCATGTTGAGATTGAAAAGCTGTGTGTGGGAACAGCACAGTCCTGTTTTGGAGGTGTCTGTGACCTTGACTACATCACAATAACATGGTTTCAGGGGCATATCATTCTTTTCTGCAGTCATAACCATTCTGAGTTTAGAACTCCCCCTTCTTAGAGACAAGCTCTAACAGTAATATTTGGTGGAGAACCTAGAAAAATAGTTTCACTTTATTTTCATTTTATCTGAATTTTTTAGAGCATTCTTTTAGGATAACCAGTAATAGACTGTATTGGGATGTTCTGAAATTGCTTGTGGCTTAAACAGCCATGAAGACAGAAATTAGCCCTTACCCTCTCCCCCTTTTACAGGATGACGATATGTGTAAGGTAGGTATTTGGAACAAGAGGAGTGAGGATATTTTAAAAATTAATTACTGAAGCCCTAGAATTAGAATATTGAAAATATGAAAGATGCTTTGATAGGAGTTCAGTTGTAGAAATGCCAGATCCCTGTCTCTTGAGTAACATGAAAGAGGAAGAAAGGTGCCCACAGAGTTATCTTGTGAGTCTGTGGGATTTACAATTATTGCAATTTTTGGAGGGATGGGAGAAATAACTCTACTATTCTTAGTAGGATTTATAAAGCCTTTGCTTGTTTACTTTTCCTTTTTTTGCTCAAAAAGTTGAACTTGGGAAATAAATGCAGTGAAGTTCAGGATAGTATTCTGTTTTCTTGATGTGGAAGAAAAAGGCACCACAGGCAGCTCTAATCCTTCAACAGATGTGTGCCACGCTAGGCACATTTTGGGTGGAAGGGACTGCGTGGGTTTCTGCAGGAGCCCCTCTGAGTCCTTTTCTTATGGATTAGCAGGTGCATCTTGTGCAAAAGGAGCCTCAGCACACTTTCGAAAACGTTCCGTGGTCTGCTTTATGGATTGTTAGGCAATTAATGTGTATGCTGAGTATTCATCCCACCTATAGTTTAAGTACTTTCAGTCCTTTGCAGAACTTTGTGAACCAGCTTTTGCGGGTGCTCCCTCTACTGAATTATAAATTCCTGAGATTTAAAAATCTTGTGGAATGCTTTCCTCTTATTTTTGTCTGCTTATTTATTCTTTTAGTAAGTGTGGGCATATTATGCTAGTAAATTCAAGTCTGACATAATTTTTGATTTTTTCCCCCATTTAATTGGTTCATAAGATTAGACTTTGGTATAGATTTGAGCTTACAGAATTTGTCTGTATTGGTATTATTTTGGTATTTTATTTTTTCCTACTATTTGCTGTCATTTTTGTGGATAATCTAGAAGTGATTGTGTATGCAGCTATTTTTGATTTATTGATTAAATCAAGACAGTTCATCATTAGATTTATCATTCTGTTAGCATCCAAAAGTTATTTTGATAGAATTATTTTCCTTTTGAGGTTGCCTAATGCTAAACTTGAAAGTTCTAATTGAAGTTGAATGTGACAGCAGCATTTCAGAGCTTTGTTAGTTCACACTATTTGAAAGAATCTTCAAGCTGCTTCTGCCTGGTTATGAAAAGAATTGTATAAGTATAAAAACCAGTTTATTCTCAAACCTTAAAACGACTCCAGAGCCCTAGCCGGTTTGGCTCAGTGGATAGTGTTGGCCTGCAGACTGAAGGGCCCTGGGTTCGATTCTGGTCAAGGGCACGTACCTTGGTTGCAGGCTTCGGGCCCTGGTCGGGAGCATGCGGAAGGCAACCAATCCATGTGTCTCTCTCGCATCGGTGTTTCTCCTGTCTCTCCCTCACCCTTCACACTCTAAAAATCAGTGGAAAAAATATCCTTGGGTAAGGATTAAAAAAAACCTTCATAATGAAATGTTTCCATTGCTTTAAAGCTGTGCCTTGAGGAAACTATATTGAACAACAGTGCAGAGAGATTTTCTCTTTGAAATTGGCACTTTGCTGTTGCTGTTTTGTCTGTAGGCTTGTCTTCATTATATTTATTTTGTTAAAATTAATTTATTTGCAATTAAAATATTACTTTTAACCCTGTAGTAGTTGAGACTTTAGATTCTTCTTTTGAGAAAAGATAATGTGGGGAGGTGTAGTGTAGGTGAACTTTTAAGGAAAAATGAATGCCAAGTTAAATATATGTCCACTAATGTGGGAGGATTTTTTTAAGACCTGAAGGTGGAGTACACTGTAAAAAGCACTAGAGGGCCTCAGTTGACTACAAGTAAACTGGGGTGGAGATGTACACTCAGGTCTCATTTTCATGTCTATTTGGTAATAAATGTGTCAGATTTATGCAGGGTAAGATCACTGAGCACTATTTCTAGAAATGTTCAAGGAGACTATATATTATCTGGTTTAGGTCACTGTTATTTAGAAGGATTATTTCCTGGATTACTAACCTTCAAGGTTTACTCCTTTGCTGGTATGGTCAGCACTGTGTTAATTCACAGCATTGATGAAGACTAATGATTCCTGTAGCATAAATAACAAGATTCCTCTGTTCAAGCACCCCAAAATATATGGGGTTGAATATTTTAAATGGTAGAATGTGAGGAGGTCAGAAATGAAATTAAAATTAAGAAAAATTAAGGATTTAATATATAACTGGGACAAAGTATGAAAAGTTTTGAAAAGTTAACCTGGATTTTAGGTTATCAAAACTAAATAGATTAAAAGCATGAGTATTTCAGCAATGGAACAAGTTAAAGGAAACTTAAGTTTGATTGATTATGTTAACGTTTTTTAAAGTCTGTTTAACTATTTTGAGTTTTGCCTTCCAGGGTGTATTACTTAATAACTAAGGTCATCTATAATTTTCTTACATCCCTGGCTTTGAAAATGATCAGGATAGTATTATATAGGCTATTAAGGATTTAATGCCTTATGCACAAATAAACTTTAAATGAAATGGAGGGATTTAAATTATAAGTTTGTATCCTCTGACTTTGCTTTTTAGAGTACCGTTAATAGTATTTGAGGACTTTTATTTTGCTATTTCAATGTCATGATTTATTTTTAAGCCACGTTCATCTGTGGATAGGATGTGCATGTGGTTTAGAGTTAGAAAATCTTGGCTCTTGGCCAAGGCTCCACCATTTCCTAGCTCTGTGACCTTGAGAATTCACCTTTTCACATCTGTTAACTAAATTATAAACTAGAGATGCAGTGTGAAACACATAGGGAACTAAGAGGATCAAATGAAATGTTTGTATACACCAGTGCATTTAGAAAATGTTCAAGAATAAAGAAGGAAGTTTTAATTGAATCTTTATTTCTAGGATTGGTAATAAATATACAGTCTTACTTAGAAAGGTGATCTAATCTTTACATTTAATGTTTACTTAAAATTTTAATATATCTTATATAATTAAAATATTACATTTAACAAGTTAAAAATTTTATTCTTTTTAACTATTTTATCTATACAAATATTCTCTCTAATTAGATTAAGAAACAATATGTACAAATATGAACCAAATGCAATTTTTTCTGGAATATTTTTTCCCTTAATGTTCACTGAAATACTATTAAAATAATTTTTGGAAGTTGAGTTTTAGGAAATGACAGTGATGTAACTGATGTCTCTTAATGAAGCAAAGTACTCTAGCTCTTTCAAGTGTTTTTTGTAATTTAAACATCTTTTGCATTTCTTCCATTTTATTCCATCTGACACTTTTTTAGCACTTAATTTTAAACCACATAGCTTTACTTATAAAGACCATACTTAAATTTTACCTCATGATAGAGATAAACTAGTTGGGATAAATGTCTGGCAATGATGCATAATATTTGAAATTTGAACAGTAGTCACTGTTAATCTGGACACACTATGGAACACTTTAATAGCAGAATTTATGCTCTTTCTAGAAATTGTCAGTTTTTTGGAGCAATATGTGATGTGACATTCTGATATTATAAAGACTCACAAACATCTCATTTGAAATGTGAGGATGTAATTTGGTATTTGAGTAAAAATGAATAAATATGCATATAAAACACCTTCACTGGGTGACTTCTGTGTAAAATCAAAGGAAAAACATGCTAAGGATATAATGATATTCAGAGGCAGGTAGGGTGCCTCAGTGGTAGACAAAAATTAGAAATGTTTTTGCATGCTTTAAGGAAAGCTGCTTATGGATATACAGTGTTCTTGTCTGTATAAAGCAATAGAGTTAACATTTGTCATAGGAACTTAGAACTCTGGAGGTAAATTTTATTTTGACACACATATAAGAATAACGAAATAAAATTGAAGTATTATTCTTTGCCATGACTGAGATTTAAGAATGAAGACACATTTTATATATTATATTGAGGATTATAGCATCTTGAGTCGAGTAGAATTCGAACAGAAGTTATACAGTTTATTGTGGTGTCTTTATTCCTGAGCATTTCTTTCACTTTTTCCCATTTTCCTTTATCCCCCTCCTAAATGCAGGGGGTAAACTGAAGAACACTTGGAGATAGTAACTTGAAAAAGATACATTCATTAATAGGCAGAATAAACACTCATTTTATCATATTCACCCAAATGAGATATTTAGGAATGTTTTGCTTCCAAAATAATGTCTATTTTTAAAGTGCTGCTATTCTGTAATTTTAGTAAGAATTTTGCATGTGTTTTTGACAAGTGTTTTGAAATTTCCAAACTCATTGATGCTGTAATACTGAATTGCTGGTAAGTAACTCAATTTATTAAATGCTTGGTTTTTTGTTTTTTTTTTTTTTTTTAGCAGTGTTTGTTAAAGTTGACTGGACTTTATAGCAAAGAAAAAAGTTTTCAAAAGCATTTTAAAATAGTTTGTATTATATATTTTAACGCCATTTTATTACCTGTAAGGAATCATAATGGTAATATTGGAATAGCCACGCCAATAATGTGCGTGTTGTACAATCACACGACTATTCATAGCATTCCAGATGTAAATAGCCCACTCCCATCCTGTTTCTTAGCAGAGCAACAACAACAAAATGAAGCCATTGTCTTTGCATGGAGACATCTCTCATCACTACCACCAAATACAGTAACATAATCGAACGATATTTTACTTGGCAGAAAAGCACTTTTAAAAAGCAAAATAAAAGTGAAAGTTAAACTAAAATGACAAACCCATAGTCGGGATCAAAGATGAATAACCCTTATCATTTCAAGGTTGTCTTATTCTTCCTGTCGCTGAATGAATAAGCATTTATTTAGAAATTAAGCTTTTTGTCTAACTTTGAACTGAAATTTACAATATGCCATTCCTTTTTTAAAAGTTAAGTAAGTTTGAATTACAGAAAGTATTACCAAAATCAATGAAATCTATTTTATCTTACCTTGACTGTTGTGATGATCCCAATATATAGAGTATTGTGAGTAGTATGAATTCTTATCGGCGTTTAGCTGAAAAGTTTTCTCTGTTACCAGATTTATGGGAACAATTGAAGTAGGTGGAGGAGAAAAAGTGTTTTAGGGAGGTCTTATGATGTCACACAGGAATTCTGAAGTTATGATTGGTTAGCCATAGTCTTATCACAGCCAAACTTTTTAGAATGCCATTTGTCTTACTTTAGGTGTGGAAAGGTCATTAACATTTTGTGCCTCATTTTCTTATTTTTAATTTTAAAAAGTATGAGATAGATGAATGAAAAAAATAAGTTTGGGGTGTAGAAAGCTCTTTTTAAAGACTCATGCAGCTTTGGGCTTAGAAATGATTGTATACTGAGAGTGATAATGTTGAAGAATGAAAATAGTTACATTAATAAGAATTTTAATAGAGTGAAAATAACAATACTGACTTAAGCCAAACAACTTTTGCTGAATTGCTGTTGTTTTAATTCTGCAGCTTCATAATGTTGACTTCTAACAAGACAATAATTAAACATTTTCACAGAAAACAAATTTTATACCTTTTCCTGTTTTATTTTTACATTGCTTCCTCATACTTATGTGTATCAGAAAGCCAGGCTAATAACTCATTTTTGGTTTTAAAAAATTAGCTTTTTCTGATGGCTAAAGTAAGAAGTAATAAATGCATTTAATACATTGGTGTTTCCTTCAGTTAGGGTTTTAACAATATATAAGCAGTGATTCTCATATTTAACTGATGCATATCACCACAAGAAAAGTTGTACTTTAAAATGGAAGTATTTAGGATTTTATAATAGCTGCATTAAATTACCATAAAATATTACTAAAATTTTAATAAGTTGACACAGAATCAATTGTAACATTCTAGCAAAAGAGAAATAATCATAAGTTCCTAATCACTGGCATCCTCGTTAATGATACTTTGCTGACAGTAGATGTGCAGGTTGGAAATTTTTGTGTAGTATTTATAAAGGGAAGTGCCTCATTTAATACAGCAGTTTTCCTCAAAATTACTGTGTAAATGAAATTCTAGTAAATGGGATGACATTTTGAACTTCCTGGAACAGTTTATCTTAAGGTAGAAGTAAGAAAAGAATTCTTTTGAAAAGCCAGGCATCATTCCTGTTTTATTCTGATTTTTGTTTATATATTAGATTTACTTAAATCACCAGACCTGCAAAGTCTGATTTTTAAGTCTCTTCTGTAATTTTGGTAGAGCTATTTGTTAATATCTAGTTTTTTAATACTTAAGCAGGGCGAATGAACTCAGCCTGCTTTCTTATGGGTAACTGAAATGTATTGCAGCAGCTGCTGTGTGTCCTTAAATGGAGATGATTTTGGTTTCCTCCAAAGAAAGATAAAAATCATTCTCTAGAGCAAAATCTCTCATTATTTAAAGAATCAACCAAAACTAATAGAAAAATATTTCTGCAAATATCTCCTGTGAACATTGCTAAGGGAAAATTTACAACTTAAAAGTAAAACCCAATGTTAAAAATATTGCGTGAATAATGTTTGACATTTGCTCAGTGCTCTATAAGCATTTTTTTCCCAATCTTTTCATAATAATAATCTCATTATCAATTGCCAGTGATGACTGAAATACAAAACCTAGGCTCAAAATACAAGCATAAAGTGTTTTGCAGTTATTTGTCAAGTATGACATATCTGCGGAGAGACTGAGAATTCCAATCCAGATGTTGAGTTACAATTCATTGCCAGATTGGCATGTTTGAGTCTGCTTTAAGTTTGCCTGCCAGATATACATTCATTTGAAAATGATGCTTAGGGGATAGCTCACTATAGTATAGCACCTTTAGTTCTGGAAAGAGAATTAGTAATACTAGTAATATCTACTTGGATAAACGAAAGAACTGCCATGGACTGAATAAAATATGCCATGAATAGCTCACATGTTGCTGTATTTGCTTTAGAAGCATACATAGGTGTGACTCACATGCATACACACCCACCTTAGAAGGATGTTAACGGTGTGTGTCCGAGTTGGTGATTAGACGCAGAAATTTACCTTTCAGATTTGTACAAAAGTGGGAGGTTTCTGTTTACCCATTTCCTTTTGGTTAGCTGCTGCTGCTAATTATTATTAGCCCAAAGGGAGCTCTAGGAAGTGTTACATTTTAGTTTTAGCCTGATGCAGCCTAAGCAGAAAGTTGTTTAATAAATAGGAGCATTGGTGAGCTACAGTATAATCAGTAGAGTGTTCTTCAAAAATTCCACAACGAGGGGCTGGAAACTGTTTTTGGAGGTGCTCTGTCAGAGTGTTAATTTGGAGTCACACTATATAATTCGAATCCACTTGTGGTCACATGACCATATGCAGCTTCCCTTTGCTGCCTTGTCTGTGGAATGGGTTTGTGGTGAGGGTTTAATGAGATGAAGTCTGTGTAGTGACAGAGATTCTGCAACACAGTGTCCATTTAGTGTTAGTACTTACTTTCTCTTTTTCTTTAGAAGATGATCCTTAATTAACCTACAGTCCGTGGATAGAGTTCAATGGTCTTTAACTTGGATAGGAAAGATTACATGTTTATTTTTTACTAAACTCTACATGAGATGTAGCCCTTCTTAAGTTTTGACTGTAAACCACAAACTGCAGAAATGTTAATACACTTGATGTCATGATAGTAATCTCAGAAAATTTCAGAGCTTGAAATACTGTTTATATTCCTCACTACTTTGAAATTACCATAATTAGACCTGCCTATAAATATTGTAATTTAATGTATTAAAGAAGCTCAAGTATTACATCACAGATTTGTTTTTTAAAAAGAATTATTTTAGGATAATTCGTTTTCTTTCTAGTGCTATGCTTTTTTTTTTTCAAGCTGGGTACAGTGAACTGTATTGATGGTGCATGACAAGGTACGGCTTCCTAACCTCCTCCCCTTCTTCAGGGGGCATTTAATTTTTTAGAACAATTCTAAATTTACAGAATTAATGCAAATATAGTACAGAGGGTTTCTGTGTATCCCACACACCATTTCCCCTGTTGTTAATGTTCTGTATTAGTATGGCACCTTTGTCATAAGAGTTGCACCAAGACAGATTAGTTTAGCGAATACCCCTACTTTATTCAGATTTCCTCTGTTTTCTGTAGTGTCTTTTCCCTTTCCAGCATCCTATCCAGGATACCAGATTACATTTAGTGGTGACAGTTTCTCAGACTTTCCTTTTTTGATGACCCCAAACATTCTGGAGAGCTGGTCAGATATTCTGTAGAATGTTCCCCAGTTGGAATCTGTGTGATGTTTTTCTCATGGTGAGACTGGTTAATGTGTTTTTGAGAGGAAGCCCATAGAGATAAAGTACCATTTTCATCACAAATCAAGTGTACATGCTGTCAACATGATTTACCACTATTATTGTTAAACCTTGATCACCTGGCCGAGCTGTAATGTCTGTCAGATTTCTACATTGTAAGGTTACTCCCTGACCCTCCTTACTGTATCCACAGAAGAAAGTCATTAATGCATAGCCCACACTTACATTTCTCTGCCTTTACAGTGGAATGTCTATAAACATTATTTGGAACCCTATGTATTTTATGTATATAAAACATCTTAAGAACTAATCAGTAGGCTTTAGCAGTCTTCCAGAAAAGTCCATGGCATGAAAAGTTGAGAATGCCTGTGTGAGAGCATATTTCTGTAGCTGTATGGGGCAGCCCTTATTTGAAAGAGGACGACTGACTTCTCACGCAGGCTCAAATCCGGACCTCTTAGTTTGCTTTTTTAGGCCCTGTCTTTCTAGCTTCATCTCTTATCACATTCCTTTGTATTGTGTGCTCTGGCCCTGTGCAGCTGCCAGCGACTCTCAGAACAGGCTATTGTTCTATTTTAAGCCTCACTACTTTTTTGTAGGAATGTCCTTCTTACCAACCTTTCTGCCCATCAAGTGCTGTTTCAATTTATATCTGCTGTGCAGCCCTCCCTGCCTTCTGTCAAACAATTTTGCATGTACCTCTGTTATCATGTCTCTCTTTATTGCATTTATAAGTATATGTGCCTAGACTGCAGGCTCTTTGAGAGCTGATCCAATAACTCATATTTATACTGCTATTTATTCTGAATAGTATTACCTAGTACAGAACCTGACTCATAATAATTCTTAAATACTAATTAAATGAGTGATTGGAAGAGTGAATAAAGGGAGAGTCAGGGAAGATTGCATGGTTGGTAGTGAATGAGTGGTCCTACAGAAGTAAGTGTTAGGGACAATGATAAAATCCTCCATTTTAAGCTTATTGTAGTGAAGGAGGGAGAGGATGGGAGATTAGGGATTAGAGTAGAATAACTGTGAAAGTAACTTTTTTCTTGTCATTTAAAAAGGTTTAAATATATTTGGAGGGTAAAAGTGAAGGAAGGCAAAAAAAAAAAAGAGTGAAGAGTGAAGGAAGGCCAAACCATAAGCACACATTCTCTAAACGTATTTATATGTTGGGCATTTTTATGTGATTATATATTAAATGAGTGTTGTTTTTACCTCATATCAATGTGCCATAATATATTGAATTAGTCTCTTATTTGATATTTGGTGATTTATAACTTCTGCCATTATAAAACATATATAAATAGCCCTCGATGAATATCTGTGTAAATAAATTTGACCTTTCGTTGTCTTTTTTAGTCTTGACTCTATAAGCTTGTTCTAACTAAATGTCAGTTTATTCAAGGATGATCCAGCTCTTAAATGAATTTGATTTGTATTTGAATTCCAATTTAGTAATTTTTGAAAGTTTTGGTAGTTAGGCGACAGCAGTTCCTTTTATATCAATAAACTTCTTTGATAAAATTATCTATGGATAGAATTTTTTTTGGTGAGGATTAGACTGAAACTGGACAACATGCAGAGTGATATGACTGAATCACCCCACCCACTAAAGGAGCCACACTGGGTTTAGGTCAGGTGGCCTTTTAACTGTGCTCCTGCGCTAAGGATGGGGCAGTTACCCTTACCTTGATTTAGGTCTGAGCTTTATATAAAGACTTTGATTTTAACATTTCAGTCCTTGATTGCCTCAGGTGGGACCCTCTGAAACATAATAGCCTTTGTCCTTCAGTT